TGATGTAACTGATAATATCTCTATTGCAAGAGAAATTATGGATGTTGAAGACGTCTTTGAACATGCATCTTTAGACTTTGATCTTGCATATCCACCAACGGATAAATGGACAAGAAATCATCCAAAAGAACAGATTCTTGGTGATCCAAACTCTGGTGTCTTGACTCGAGCCCAGATTCAAGCCACAAATGAGGTGTTGAATGTTCATCAAGAATTATGTATGTTAATGTCCTTTTTTCGAAATTAGAACCAAAAATAGTAAATACTACATTAGAACAACCTGATTGGATTGTTGCAATGCAATATGAACTTGCTAAGAAACAAGGCTTGGAGACTGGTTCTAAAACCTGAAGTTGTTTCGATAATTGGTTTGAAATGGATTTTTAAGAATAAAACTAAAAAGAATTCAATATTGTTAGAAATAAATCAAGACTTGTCATAAAAGGTTATTCTCAACAAGAAGGTATCGATTGTGAGGAAACCTTTGCCCATGTCGCTAGACTTGAGGTGGTACGAATTTTTTCTTGCTTATGCAGTTCATAAGAATTTCGACGTATACCACATGGACGTGAAATGTGCATTCCTAAATAGTGTTCTAGAAGAAATGGGGCATGTCGAACAATCACTAGGTTTCGTTAACGATAAGTATCTGGATAACTGTTATATTTTAGATAATGCGGTCTATGGGTTGAAAGAAGTACCTCATGCCTGGTATGCAACTCTGACAAATTTTTTGAAAATCGCTAAATTTAAACAAGGATCTGTTGATCCTACTTTATTTCGAAAGAAAGTAGGGGATCATCTGATGCTCATTCAAATTTATGTCGATGACATTATCTTTGGTTCGATTGATCCTTCAATGTCTAAAGAATTTGAGGAATTCATGAAAACTAAGTTCGAAATGAATATGATGGGTAAAATCAATAACTTTTGGGTTTAAATATTCGTCAAAGAATGGAAGGAATCTTTATCAATCAAGAGAAATATACTCGAAACTTGCTTGAAAGGTTTGGCACGACGAATAAAAACGAAAGTTAAAGAACCTATGACAGTTGGCACATGCTTAAATCCTTTGTTGGACAAGCCTTCTATGGATATAACGACATATAGAAGCATGATCGATTATTTTTTGTATTTAACTGCAAGTCAGCCTAATATTATGTTTGTTGTATGTAATTGTGCCAGGTACCAATTGAATCCTAGAGAACCCCATCTTAATGCAGTCAAGAATATCTTTCGATACCTCAAAGGTACAATTTCATTAGGATTATGGTATCCTTTGAAGACAAGATTCTTTATCCAAGCATTCTCTGATGTGGACGAGGATGGATGTGAATTTCATCGAAAGAGCACAACTGTAGGGTGCCAACTTTAGGATGGAAAACTTGTAAGTTGGCAATCGAAAGAGCAAACTTGTGTTTCTATTTCGACTGCTAAGGAAGAATACATTGCTGATGTTGCGTGCACATCACATGTAATTTGGATCCAAGGCCAGTTGTGTGATTATGCAATCAACATGAAGAAAATACCTTTATATTGCGATTCCTAAAGCGTGATTCGAATTTTTCACAATCTGGTCCAACATTCGAAAACAAAAACATATTGCTCTTCATTAGCGTTTTAGCAAAGTCCACGCTGAAGATGCAAACATTCAAGTTCATTTACTCAAACAACATATCAACTTGCTGATATTTTCACAAAACCTTTAGATGAAAAATCATTGTTAAGGATTTTAAATGGACATGGAATGATGGAAGCATGCTTTATTCCTCATTCTTCTTCAATCTGAATTGAACTCTTGTTTTACCTTAACTTCGATTGTTTTTATTACTTTCGATGGGTAAGTATAACTTTCATGCGTTTTAATTCACTTTCGACTATTTATGTTATATTCAGAGGTTATTGTTCATGTTAAGCGTTCGACTACCTTCGCTCTCGACTTCACTCTAAATCATTCAGTATATGATTTCAATTTCGCATTTTATGGAAGATTGTTAGCTTATGGGATGAAAGTGTCTACGTAATGTTCTACATTCTATTATTTTTTTTTATCCTGCTTTCTAAAAATTAAAAATCCAAAAAGATTTTCTTATTTTTTTTCTTTTATTTTAAAAATCAAAAATCCACAAATATTTTCTGATTTTCGTCTTTATTTTTTTTAAATCAAAAATCCAAAAGATTTTCTTATTTTTGTCTTTTATTTTAAAAATCAAAAATCCAAAAAGATTTTCTTATTTTTGGCTTTATTTTTTTAAAGAAAAATAAAAAATACAAAAATATTTTCGTTGGAATCTCATTGTCACAACATGATTCTCATTCGCATGCAAAATGACCACATTCATCAAGGGAAGATGTATTATTCGAAACTATGTGCTAGTTAAGTGTCCCTAGAAGCATGTAACAACATGTTGTCCTCCAAGCCTCATAGACTCCTTGTGTTCGAAGCCTTAATGAAATCTTTCACATGAAAGCTTCTTTCTAATCAGGTTGTATTCGCATTAGTTGAAGAGCTACCTTACTCTTCACTTGATGATTCAAGAGTCTTCTGCTTGGTCGAAATTTTTAGCAAAGGTACGATGACTTCTTTCACTAATCTTTTTCACCCAAAATTTCTTTCACGATCACACACTACACTGAATATCCTCGACATCTTTTGTCGAAACCTACCAGAATGTAGATATGTCATACATCTATGTTTATGATACTGAGTCATTCGTCCATGATAATGGTGAAACCCAACAAACCTAAACTTTAACGAATTGATGGTGACCAACTTCGTTCTAGATTTTCACGAAACATTTGTTTCTGTACCATTTCGATATTCAAAATCTCATTTCCATTTGTATTGCGTGATCTTGATGAAATGTTCTAATACCAAGACATCTTTGCCCACAAAGATCCAATATTTTTTTTTGGAATGAGATTTCCGTTTCAATATCATCTTAGAACTTTTGTCACTTATAATCATCACCAACCATACTTGTTCTTGACTACACTAGTTAACCAAGTAATTTTACACACTTGTATCACACTTATGTTAAGTTGTGACCTTGTGTAAAATCGAAGCCACCTTTGAAACTACAAGAAAAAGAAGCCCTTTGATATTCATCAACAAGTATTTGATTGTAGTTCATGAGACACCGCACAAGCAATTCTTCATCTCTCTTGATGTTGAATGAAGAGATCTTTTCCCGGGATCAATTTGTTTTTATATCATAAAGATTTTGATATTGCGATATTCGTAATTTATTTTACATGCTTCTACCTCATTCCTTGACACACGAACGCACTGAAATCCTTGAGGTTTTAGGTATTACCAACTCGAAACTTAGAGTTTGCAAAGTCTGGAATATGATTTTGCTTCCAAATCTGAAAAGCAAATGAGCCCAGCCTCCATGCCGATGGAATGCTCTTTGCTTGGTGTCGAAACATATGGTGTACTTATTTGGGGATCGAAACTTGTAATGATTCTTATCCCAATGGGAACAACGAAAGATCCGATGGATGTGATGGTTTTGGATTTTTACGGGAATCAAGGAGCAACGTGATGATCACTTTTATGACGTGGTGATTTTTACGGTGTCGGTTAAGAAACCAACACAGCACGTGGCATCTACATATTAGGTACCGGTTCAAATTCAAAAATTATACAAGTTATAAAAGGAAGATTTTGATTTCCTTTTCAACTTTCTGCTCTATGATTAAACGTCAAGAATCCTTACTATTCATAGCTTCTAAAATTTTCTCCAATTCCCATCAAAGGCTTCTACTCCTTGCAATGTTAAACCAACAACAACAAATTATGAAGAAATCTCACAACCTATGATGAAGACTCAAACCACCAATATTCGTCTACTTCCAACTCTTGACACATATCCAGAGGAGTTACGGATGTTTGTTCAAACTTTGAACAACTCTGTATTATTGTCTGCTCTTTCTTCATCGTTTCCGATCCTTGTAAAATGGTTGTCTCTTGCTGCATCAACTACTATCTACAAAAATACAACCAAGGTGGTCACATTCCATATTACAAACTCAAAAACGAAGAAGCTTACTCGCAAAAAGTTTACCCAAATTCTGAGACTACCAATTTCTGGTACTTTCTACGAAGTTACGAATGTTCAACTAATTCATACGTTCGATAGAATGGGTCACCAACCTACTATCACTGCCATTAGCCACTTCATGAAGTCCAACCTTCCTTTTATTTGGAGATTTTTGTCTGGGATTATTCTAAGGTGTTTGACAGGAGGAAGTTCTAGGCTTGACATGGACAAGATTGAAGTGTATTCTATGATAGCGGGATTATACTATGGTCTTAATATTGATTATGCATTACTTCTATGGGAAGAGTTTGGAATCTCAATCTCTCACATGAAACTAGCAACATGAGTATCGAGTGCTAGGTTTTGGGGACTCGTTCTGTGAGAGATTTACATCCATGAGAATATTCTCATCCCAGTTGGTATCGAATCTGCTGAATTTCCAATAATATATGCTCCAAGAGTTTTTGTGGATGATACTACTATTTTTCCCGGTGTTGCTCGGATTCCTGATTCAATGCTTAAGTTAGTTGACCCATCGAGTCCTGTGTTGGTCAATTATTTATTTTCGATTGATTCCACTACTAAAACAGTTGTGTTACCACCACTTGTTTCACAAAAAGAGTCCAAAGCTTAAAAGAAGAAGAAGCAAGCAGTTGAGAAACGTCCATAAGTTGTGGAGGATGATGTTTTTAAATAAACCATCCCAATGAAATTCGGGGTTCATAAACGAAATAAGAAACAAGGTAAGAAAGCCTCTCATTCTCCAATCAAGGATTCTACTCATGAGCCAGTGTTCGAAAGTGTTGAGCCTACTATTGTCGAACCCTCAAATCCCGTTGCTTCTAAGGATGGTCCAAAGAAGGTTAAAAGACACAATTTACCATAAAGGTTGTTCTATTTCGTGAAATTTTGGTTCCTAGATCTCCACCCTCATAGAAGCATCAAGCTATCAATATGGCTAAAAATTTAGAGAAGAGAAAACGCGAATTTAGTGTTCCAATAAAGAATGTGACTGTTGAGACAACGAATAAAAGTGATAGCGACAAGTATGACATTCGAATCAAGGATTCTTATATTGTTTCACCGCAAAAGGATACCCCTTTCGAGTCGAACTTCGAGGAGATAAGGATTTCTGATGTCACTACAAACATATCTGATATAGATGAAAACATCGATTCTGGTGAACATAAAAATCCAATTATCCTTAAGAACGAGAACATCATACCATCTGGGATTTCGGGTATCGAGTCCGTAATGGTGGAGGTTGCAATTCCAGACATCACTGTGAACTTATCTAATAAGGACACAAAAGTCGAAACAACAACAACATCCATAACTCCAACATCTATAGTTTTAGCACCATGACTATCATTACCACTTATTTCATCAATTTCTGTTTCAACAATTTCTCCTACACTTGATGGTGTAATCAATGAGCCTTTCAAAACACTTTTCTCATCTCAGTCCACTGAGGTTGAGAAAGTGAGTCACACCAAGGAAACTAATGCAGATGATGTCATGGTTTCATTTGCTGATCTTTAGTTTCATCCAGATGAGGAGAATATTTCTTATGAAATGATCATGTCAGGAAAACAATTCAAAATATTGAATTCAATTATCAATTTGATTTTACAGTTCTTGGTTGATATATGAAGCAAGCAATCTGTGAGTGGAGTCAAAGTTGAATATCTTCTAAAAGCTCAAGAGTCTTGACTGCGGACTCTAATAGATGATATTGATAAGTGAAATGACGAGCAGTTTCTCAATCATTCTAAAAGTCTTAATGGTTAAATTTAAAATCTTAGTGATGTTTCGAAAGAACGACATGAGCTTCTTACTAAGCAACTTGAGGAAACAAAAGTCTTTTTACAGACTCAGATCATGGATATACGAACACTGTTGAATCTGAAGTTAAGAATTTTGCTTAGAGTTCTACAACTCTACATAAGAAGTTAGATGTGGTAGCTGAAGCAACTACTCGATTGATTGCAGACATCACTTCCTTCAACAAAGATTACACGATTGGTCTTCAAGACAAGACGAAGTGTGATGCTCAAGTTTTTGCTAAATTTGAAGAGTTCTTAACCGAAATCAAAACTATGCGTACGACACAATCGACAATTTATCCAGAATCCATTTCTCAAATGGTTTCTAATATTGAGACAAACATCAAGGATGCATTGGATCCTGTCAAGAAGTTTGTTCTTCGATTTCCAACAAATGCTCTTCGTGTTGTGCAAGTTTTGCAAGCGGGAGAAAAATGGGAAGGGGTGTTAGTTCGTCGAACGCTGCAGGTGAAAATTCTGGAGTGGTTGGCGGAAAGATGATGAGTACTCAAATCCCAACAACTATTTCTATGAAGCCCATAAGTTTAATTTCAACATCAACAACTGCAACAACAACAACAACTAGAACTTTGAAAAAAGGAATCTCGATAAACGATGGAACAATTGGTTCGAGTTCAAACTCTATCAAATCAAATTTGAATGTTGATCAAAATAGTAAAAGGAAATCCATCTCATTTGTTCTATCAAAAGAAGATAAGAATAAGAAACAAGCCATCAAAATTGAAAACAAAGGCCGATAAATAGCATTCTAAGGAAAAGAGCAAATGACCTACCTGGCTTGAACAAGGATGATCCCAACAAGTAGTGGTGTTATGAAACAATACAAGACATAGTTGCTATTCGAGAGAATGATGATTTTTTAAAGGTGCCAAAGAACAGCTACGACACAGAAACACTACAAGAAAAATGTGATTATGCTACGGAAGGAATCCGTTGCGAAAATCTGAAATTCCGTTGCAGAAGATGATTTGCTAAGGAATTTGCAACGACCCATTTCCGTCCCTAAAAATGTCGTAGCGAGGGTTTGCAATGGAAACGATACTTCCGTCATAAATGTGACAACGGAATGAAATCTGTGGTAGATGGTATTCCGTGTTGTATTCCGTAGTAGGATTCCATCACACAATCCGTGGTAGTTATTCAATCACAAATTCCGTGGTGGTGATTCCCTAGCAACTTCCGTGGTGGTGAATCCCTAGTAAATTCCGTGGTGGTCATTCCCTAGTAAATTATGTGGTGGTGATTCCCTAGCAAATTTTGTGGTGGTCATTCCCTAGCAAATTTCGTGGTGGTGAATCCCTAGTAAATTCTATGGTGGTCATTCCCTAGTAAATTCCGTGGTGGTCATTCCGTAGCAAATTCCATGGTGGTCATTCCGTAGCAAATTCCGTCGTGTTAATCCCTAGCAAATTTCGTTTGATGACTTACTAGCAAATTTTGTGGTCATGAATCCCTAGCAATTTTCGTGGTGTATGTTATGTACCAGATTCCATATGGACCGATGGATAATTGATTTATAAATTATATCCAAATTATTTTGTAGTAATATATGAAAAACAAAAATAATAAAAAAATCAAAAGATTATATCATAAAACAAAAAATAATTATTTATTACATGGAGAAAGGAAAGTTGCTAATCTAAAATAAATACTCTACAATAAACATATATGAACACTTTATGACCTACTAGTGTTGTTGTTTTCTAAAGACATTAATAAGATCCATTGTTGTTTGATGTTGTTTTTCAAGATGCCCGAACCTTGCTTTATTTTCTTCTTGTTGGGCGTTCATCATTTCTTTAAGTTCTTCGTTTTTCTGTTTTTTGTTTAGCAACAAGCTCCCTCATTTCTTCTATTTCATCAATTTTTTCCGGAATGTAAGATACATCCGTTTTACCATTCCTATTGGGAACCGACTTTACAAAAGATCCTAATCCAGAAATTCTTCTTTTTTTATCATGACCACCAACAACAGCATAAAATAGCTTGTCCTCCTCAAATTCAACACCTTCAACTTCCAACTCTTCCCGTTTTTCTGTATAGGCCGCCTACAAAATGAAGATAATATAAGTTAAAAGATATCAAATTTATGAATGATATTATAGACTAGCTACAATATAAAAGTTTAACACTGAAATGAATATTACATGAATTTGTCTATCTTTTTCATTTGTGAAAGTGACTCCATCGTGATTCTTCGTGTGTGTATACTGGAACAATTCACGATGGGGTGGATCACGTCCTAATTTCGTCTTCTGCATAAATACCATATAAAATGTCAAATATACAGATAAAAATATATAAACATTGATACAATGTACCATTAAAAAAATTACCAAATCAGAAGCTATCTTCAAATGACTTGCGGATCCAGCGTTATGTGTAGGTTTTGCTACTCCATCAGCCACACCGTTATGCATATTTTTCTTGTTCTGCTCAGATTTTAGCCTGTATTCTTATGTATTCCATTTTAATTGCCAGGAGTCCCAGACTTCCTATGGAATATGAGCTGGTGTAAAGTCATGTTTGTTTCTTTTTGGTCTCCGCATGTTGAAGAGATATTGGCCATAACTTTGTGCCGCTTTCCTTGCCCAAGCTTGCCTCACCAGCGAGTCTATTATTTCATCCCAACAACATTTTTTCTACACATTAACAATATAAACAGAAATTTAAGTGTAAATGTTTACCAAACAACAATTTATCACATATAGTTAATTACCTGAAACGCCTCCCAATATAATTCGCATATTTCTTTGGTTACTTTTCCCGAAGCGTACCCTTGTGGATCTACTCTTTGTAAAAAGAACCGACTAATAAAGTGTGCACAAGGGTCTGGTGGCATGACACTGCAAGTAATCATGTGATGGTTTAAGTTTTGATATGATATGTACGTGTAAATGAAAAGGTTATACATAGAAAAAGTTGTAAGATATGATTGGTAACTCATGTTTTTTTTTCAAACATGAACAGTTAAACGTTCATCTGTTCCACAATCTTCAGAGGAATTGTTTTCACCTTGTACATTTTCCACTATAGATCCATTCATGGTTGGTTATGTTGGTGATGGGGTAGATTCTGGCATAAGTGTTGTTGATGGGGTATATTCTGGGGTAGTTGTTGTGATAGATGTAGCTGTGGTAGTTCCTTTACTTAAGGAGGATGTGGTAGTTATTATAGTTCTAGATGCAGGTTTTGAGATTGTGGTAGTAGATATAGGTGTTGATGATGTGGTAGTTGGTGTCGGTGTTAAGGATGGTTTAGATAATGTAGGTGCTGAAGTGTTGGTTATTGATGTAAGTGTTGAGCATTGTATTGTTCCCGTTTCTGAAGTTTTAGATGTATTTTCTAAGGACGGTGTGGATGTTGTAAGTGATGCCGGTGAAGTGGTAGTCATGGTTGATGTGAATGATTTAGGTTTAGGTGTTTTGTTGGTAGATGTTATAGGCGCATTGGATGTGGTTGTTGGTATTGGGAAGTGGATTTCTTTATCTTGTAATTGTCTGCTTATGAATTTTGCAGTTGAAATCCTATTGCGTTTCATAACCTGTGGTGCAATGAATTTAGTTGGCTTCACACCGGATGCTCCTTTTGTTTTCGAGTTCGACATCTTTCTTGCTTAAAAATAAAAAAAATTATAGTTAATATATACCAATGTATTAAAGATGATAAACTACTGATGAGAAGAGACAACAAACAAACAATAAAAATAAATTATATATGAAGGCATTACTACGTACGCATGCAAACTGTTGCATACAATCAAAAGCAATTTAATTGTAATTTTAGATGATAATAATCATGAAGATGATCAGAGGAGAAGAAACGATCATCACGACAAAAGTAAATTATATAAAAATAAATTTTAGATGAGTGACAACCTATATCGCCAAAGTCAGTGCACAAACGTATAATGAACAAAGATTTCGATCAATTAGCTGCCAGAGATAATGATTACAGAAAATGTAAACCCTATTTATAATAAGTAAACTTACCCCAATATGCAGCCTAAACGTGTGTAGGTTGGAGGGAGGAAAGGAATTATGAAATATTTTGAAAGTCTGCTAATGAAAAATTTGAACTGTGTTAACTAGTGCTAAATATCTAGTACGTAATCAAATTTATTAAATTAGTTCTAGATTAATAGATAGGGTATATACATATAACGATAAGAAAAAACATAGACTAACAAGGTGTTCATAACATAATTTAATTTAAAATTATAAACGAGGATTAAACATGAATAAACTATACATGTTTATGCTGTTATGTTTAAAACAAAATTTATATATAAAAGACATACGGTTCATGTCAATATATATGGTAGTTGCTTATGGTATCATGGTATCGCCCATAGATGACATATGGGTCATTGGTCAACATATGGTAGTTGCTTATGGTGACCATGGATGACATATGGGTCATTGGTCAACATACGGTAGTTGCTTATGTTGACCATGTTTGACATATGGGTCATTGGTCAACATGGTAGTTGCTTATGGTGACCATGGATGACATATG